ACATTCCCCTTTTGTTGTTACTATCTGTTTCATACAGCAATTGTAGCGACTTGATCACTGAGCTCTGCAGCTCTCTGCCGCAGGCAGACAGTTTGTCGTCGAGTGAATAATGCGGATGCGCGATTTTTCTTGGGGAAACATTCTAACTACGCATGCTTATGCAGCAGGTTCTCGGTCAGAAAGCGTAACGGTCATACATACAAACAAGCAGAATAATAGTATAGATAAAACAAAAACAATTAGCGCAACAAGTGGTTTAATAAGAGTGACACAAGCAATTGCGTTTTAAATAAACAGCGGGTCAGCGAAAGGTTTTAGGGCTTGTAAAACTAAAATTCGGGGTTCAATCTCTGCGGTTGGTACAGCCCAAATAGCTAGCTTATTGTGTAGATTTGTGCGTAACAACAAACAAACAATATTGTTATGTCTTTACAAGCTACATATTTTGAACTAAGTAATTAGTGTAGTAACTTGAGAAAGTTATAATTATCAGAAAGTCGTTCGAAGTTTAAAAGCCGGATAATATAGTTCCACTGTAGGAGGAATAGTACATACAAGCCTTCTGTTACCATCAAGATTCATATGCATACGACTGGCTCCTGGATAAGTAGAAAGTACTGTTCGAAATATGTAAAAATCTCCTTTTATTGTTTTTCATATTGGGTACAATTTAGACGTGGTGATCAGAGACGATATTTCGGTTCCCTTCAAGTTCTGTCATTCCTTATGCACTAAGACCACGAGTATGGTCAGTTTCTATAAGTTCTATCTTTCCTTGTGCACGAGTATGGCCAGTTTCTACAAGTTCTATCTTTCCTTGTGCACGAGTGTGGCCAGTTTCTACAAGTTCTATCTTTCCTTGTGCACGAGTGTGGCCAGTTTCTACAAGTTCTATCTTTCCTTGTGCACGAGTGTGGCCAGTTTCTACAAGTTCTATCTTTTCTTACTGCAGTTTGTCTTTAGCTAAATATTCTTGTAATAAGTGTTTCAAGTTTCAAAAATAATAAATAGGCTAAAATAGTTTATGCAGTAATCGTAGGTGATTGCAAAGCTTTCAACGTGCAGCCCCCAAAATGATTTTTATGGAAAAGTAGGTTGTAGATGTAAAAATTCTCAAGAACGATTTTGAAATTGTCGAGTGGGTTGGCACAGATTTCCCAGAAATCCCGATCAGCGAAATAGATAGAAAAATTCAACCAAACGTTGATTACAAGAAGATCACAAACATTTCGAAGTGTTTACTGACAATTGAAAGTGATCCCAGGTATCTTTTGTGTGCACGTGCTTCTCGAGTACAGGTGTTCACTGTTATGAGTTTTCTCTCTCTCTCTTGAGACAAAGTATTTGATTATTTTTGTAACCTTCTTTCACTTGACATCGAGCATGTATGCTCAGACAGGTTTTCGACGTGGTGTAGCGTTGTCTAGTACGTATATTATAGGACGTTGGAAAACCCCAGAGTTCCAGTGCATTGTGATAACGTAATTTTGTTTCTAATGAATTCATCAAAGACTTCCTTTGTTTCTACTGCACATAGTGCCTCAAAATTTTACACACATAAGTACAAAATATATTGTAGATTTAGCCTTCCCACTTCCCAGAAATACAGTAACAGAGAAGGATAATATATTTTCTTCAAAACGGGAATCCTGTACGAGTATGTGGTTTAGATTTATTTCTAACTTAGACTTGTAATTCTTATTGATACCATTTGCAGGTCAACATTTACGAATAATATATTTTTTACTGCCACACCGGGAGGAAAATTAAGAAAGTAAAAATATGCATATTCCGTTGACATTTTTATCTTATTAAAAAAAGATTTATTGTTGAAAATGATAAGATCTAATTTACAATTTGATATACAATCAACTAGGTTTAGCACAACAGTTAAGATTTACATTGAATTTGGATGGTGAACAGCATCATATTCGTAAATTTCAAAATGGCAAGAATTTAAAGTTCCATCACCCACTTATGATGTAGTAAACACTTCGTACATCTATACAGCAGTATCTGTAATTTTAGCGTTATCCTTTCTGTTTCAGGATTCAGAAGGAGACGCGAGAATGGAAGTCATCTGTGAAATAGTCTTGAAAATGAAAGGCGCTTACGTGAGTGGACATTGGTGTTTCTACTAATCTCTTTGAAGGCAGTCACGTGTTTGGTTACTTCCTCTCTGCTTAGTATAGCCCGTCGTCTGCCAAGACCAGAGGTCTGGTGCTGTACGAGTTTAGTGTGTGAACGTGTTACCGAAAAAAATTGTTAACATTGTGCTGCACGCATAAGGATTCTTTTTGAAGTAACACACAAAAAAAAAATTACTAAACGCACACATACTTTTAACCAAATACGAAACTGTGCTAAACATTAAGGTACAAAGTACGTGAAGACATGGATATAGATCTCAGTAAAGTGTCAGAATCTGAGTATGACTCCATTTTTCAAGTTCTTCAGCGAGACCAGAAGTTGAGAAAGTTTGAAGAAAGGAGAATACAGTAAGTTACTTTTGAGAATATTTGACACACAAACCTTGTAATTGTGTGTAACTCTCCATATTCATTTACAATGGTTTTCTTAGCATGGTTCAGTAGTCATATTAAAAGTAATTTTCGTTAACTATACAGTGTTAGAAGATGACCCGGTCCTTTGGGCCGAAACGTCGCAATTTTAATTGCTTAAAAATATTTCCATTGTAAAGCTGATTGCGATATTCAACTGATATTAGGCATAAGTACATCTGTCAAAATTAAGCTTTGTTTTGGGGAAGACTTACAAATACAAGACGTTATTAATTTTTCTAAGTTTTTACATTTCTTGACAATATTGAATATGGAAGTGCCATTAGCCCCTTAAATTTGTTTTATACTTTAGTTAACAGGGCCAAAAAGAAATATAATTAGTTATACCCTAGTTATAAATACTGAATAAAGAAATTTGATTAGCTCCTTAAGTTTCTAATAATTTATTTAATAATACTGTTTATAGATATGTCATGTTGTTTTTTCCTCTTTATAATAAGTAATTAGTTGGCGTTAAATCCACGAAACATGTTGTAAATACAGCATTAGAAATAATGTATAAGATGCAAATATTATATGATTGTATCTTTCTCTCTCTATTGTATTAAAATGAACTGCATCAAAGTACAAATATTTATTTTTTACAGTATTAGCGGCTGTCGTTCAACCAATCAGATAGTATCATACAAACATATTGCACTTGCGTCTCCCAGGGTTGAAATGTCATATGATAAACATGTAGATATCAAAGCTTGACAGATTGAGTCAAAAAAATTCATGCTTCAATAGTATCTATATGGAAAGTCGGAAGATCTTAGTGAAACTATTACTGTTTATAATATAAGTAATTCAGGTAGACGGTCCAAACTTTTCAAAAATGTTGTTAAGTAACTCTAGGATTACTCTTTATGTGAAACATGACAATCTATGCTGCCAATGTTCTAGCTGTTGGTATTGGTGCGAATGTTATACCCAGAACACATTATTACGAAGTGGCCTCATTGGATGTGAACAAAGCTGAGGAGTGTTCTTAATAAATAAATTCAAATTGTTTGGCAACAATCAATGGTAATTGGTTCGATGGCAGAAATAAGAATGGTAGTATGGTCAACGTATGACCTCTACAAAGTGGACTGTATCTCAGCCAATGGCGTTGTAGATCAACAACTACTACTGAAAGATAGTCAGATTCTTAGCCCTTATGTAATTTCTTCAGAAACAAGACTTGTTGGGTAGGGATTCATTTTCCAGCAAAACATTGATTTCAAACATGCAAAATATGTGATAAAACGATACTTGGAAAGGGGGGGGGGTAAGGCAGATGGAGAACTCGCAACCATAAGTTGGTTTGTACTTTATTGTTGGTCAACCAACAACCATGCACCTTGGCTGATTTGTCGGGAGTAATAGTTGACACTTGGAACAACATTCATAATCATAAATTGGTAAACTTATTGTAGCATAAAAATAAGGTGTACTGCTCTGTTTTAAAACAAATGTAAATTACTAGTGCATTGTACAACTTTTCCTATTGTATTTTCTGTAATGATATATTTTAACGATTTATTTGCAATTATTCATTGCTTGCAACTCCTGTTTGTGTGTCATTTGTGCAGTTTCATTGATATTTCTATTTCTGTATGTGTCTCTCTCCGTCCTCCAATGGGACAGTGGTAAGTCTAAAGACTTACAACGCTAAAATCCGAGGTTCGATTCCCCAAATTGATTGAGGTCTACCAGCAGATGTGAATTTTTTTTTCTAGATATAAATTGCTGTTAACTTTATTTTTTTATTTTGAGAACGCAGAATAGTGTATTTTTATGTTATTACAGTTATGTGTTTTGTTATTAATACGTTATGTAGGTACAGCTAAAAAATACACACACATTCACTGACTGGCTGTCTTACTACCACCCATCACGAATTTTGATTTGAATAAGTCTTGGATAACAGTCTGGATTCTGCGTAATATAGACTCCGCCATAAAATGATACCGAAAAGTGTATTGTTCTTTTGTAGCACAGTCATCAAAAATATTATACAACTGGTTCATAGATGTCAGAAGAATATAACTGTAAGAAATGTTCATCCCAAAAGTGTCCGATTGGAAAGAGTTACTGGTGATTGTGCTGACCATGTTAAATGGCAGAAGTCCATATCATCTTAGAGCCAATTTCGCTATCCTATAATCAAAAGACCCAACTCCTGTCACGAGATCGCTCCCCCACACTATTACACTATCTTCAGCAAAACATTAGCAAGATCACATTGTCCAAGTGATTTTCACCATTTTTTCTTGTATTGTAAACTAAGCACAGAAATTTGCGAAATACGTCTCATCAGACCATGTTTCCAGTTATCCATGTCCACAGTTCAAATTCTTCGCACCACTGAAGCTTCCAATTGTTTTCTGCATCTGAAATACTCGATTTTTGATGTGGTTGACGGTTTTTGTGATACCCTTCACATGGTACGCGTGGCACAGTTGGAGTTTGTCGAAACCTGACCATTACTGAATGAATCAGTCATTTGGAACACAGCCTAACGTCTGTTGCAACTTACAAGCGTGTCCAAACATTTTATTCCTCGGTCAGTTATCAGCATTTGACAGGCACACTTTCTTCTCATGGCAGACATGTTTATTTTTGATTCTCATTGTGACAGACTAATGAGAAATGTCTTTGAACGTAAATTATCTTTGATTACGACGCTCCTGCTAGAAAAGCGCTGAATTTCGGAAAGGTCCTTGCTTTTAATTATTGTCTTGAAAACTAACCACGTCATGACTATATTTCCACGTTGATAAGACTTAACCAATCATATACCACGTCACTAGCTGGTTAGTGTGTCTTGTTCAAGTAAGTTAACGGAATTTATAACTATTTTCTTCCCTACAGCATTATATCTCTTTCTTTCTTTTTATAGCTGGGCTTGTAACAAAAGATATGAATACGCATGTTTTCATGTCTTTTTAAAACCACCGTGACCCAAATGACTACATTTTAGACAACAAGGATGAAGGTTATTAATTTTAGTCACATATAAGCACCTTTTTTCTAGCGCTTTTGTTATTTTCCTCCCATTGTTTAGGAACTCCAAGAAACCAATTTATTGGCTTTTTATTATGGCTCTATCAAACGTTTAACCAGTTCTTCGTGTCCTGTGAGTTACAACCCTTCCTTTTTTTTCGTTATTTCCCTCTAGCCACTATTATAGATTGTACTTTTTTGTTACTACGCGCATTACTATGCATTGCTCAGTGAGTTTTTATGTTGCTTATCTACGTGTCGGTATCCTTGTAGTTTCTAGTTCATGCTACATTGTAAGAGTCCGGTTCGATATTGAGAGGGAATTGGTTTTGTACCAACCACTGTTGTTTACCCTCCGTGTCGGTATCCCTGTAGTTTCTGGTTCATTGCCACTTTGTAAGAATCTGGTTTGGTATTGGTTATATACCAATCAGTGTTGCAAGAATTATAGTTTTAAGATATTACCCATAGTCGTAGTTATTACAGATTCTATTGACCCTAGTAAGTTTACGTGAGTGATTAATAATTTTTTTTTTTACTTTGTCGGCCATTTGCTAATTTCTCTTTACTTTTCTGATCCAGCAATGCTCATCTACACTTTTGTGGAATGTACAAAATACTCTCGACCTTGACAGTTTCGCAACTTTGAGACAGCCACACATGTTTGTACTATAGCAAAGTAGTTGTAGCAACACCTTCAGCAAATCAGTCTTCTCCTTGCTCAATACGATGTCTGCATAATTCTCTCCAAATGTTTCAGCATCAAACATCTGCTGGACCACTGTCAACTTACAATCTGAAGAAAAAGTGCTTGTTACTCCATTTTCAATTAACGTTGTTCGTCTAGATGCTAACAATTTCATTTGACAAACGATATATTTTAATATTTGTAACAAAAATCAGCAGTGTTCGTTTTCTAATTTTTATTATGCATGTCCCACAGTGGGACAGCGGTAAGTCGTCGGACGTACAACTCTAAAATCCAGGTTCGATTCCCACGGTGGACACAGCAGATAGCCCACTTTGGCTTTGCTCTAAAAACAAACCATTATGCATTTCGATTACAATGCGTGTAAAAATAGCATTTCAGGTCTACTTATGTCAGATTACTGACAACAGATCTTGTCAGCTAAACTGGATGACGAGAGATAAGTATATGTTATATGCTTATTTACATATGCAGTACAAACACTTTAAATTGTGGTTTGAATGCCGAAGTATCGAAACCAATTGACCTGTATAATATTTGTGTTATAAATAACTGTAGATTTTATTTTCTGTCATTTCTCATTATAGATTTCAAATTAGAGATGTGTAAAAACAGTATTTCAGATCTGTCTTTTGTTTCTCGTTGTCAAACCCATATGGTGAGTTGTGGTACTAAAGAAATGGCTTCTGGGCTGTTTTTTGAGAGATGAAAAAAAAAAACTGAAATGCAATTTTCACACAACTCCATTTTGAAATGTTTATTTGGCAAGTTGAGTGGAATTCCCCAAAAATAAACATGAAAGTTAACGTGATTTTTCTAGCGAATATTAGATTAATTGGTTTTCAACGCTTCGCTGTTTTTTGGCGTTCAAATTGTAACAGTATCTTCTCTGTTTCGCTTACCGATATACTTATATTTTACGTATTCCCTCTGTATTTTATATCTTTTAATATTCTTTTTTTTTCTGTCCTAAAAGCGTGTTCTCTAAACAACTGTTTTATAATACTATATTGTAGAAAGCAAACAGTAAAAACACGTACATCATAGGTTCATGTGACGTTATGAGAGTGACATTGTATCGTAGCTATTGCTTACGTGGCTGGTGTTGGCTGTGTCACCATAGAGTTAGCTGGTTGACAAGCCTGATATAATTACGTGGCTGGTGTTGGCTGTGTCACCATAGAGTTAGCTGGTTGAATTTGTGTTTCAGTATGGGCGCCTATTGCAACTTTTCAGT